GTCATGTAGCTCCAGTGCTGTGAGCTATATGGCTGCTTCCTTCCTCAATCGCGATACTGACAACACTTCAAAAAGTACTTAATTATCTGTGAAACAACTCGTAATGTCTGGAATTATCTGTGAAAATAAACATGTGAAGTCTTGAAACTATGAAGTGTGCCATATAAATGTGTGTTCTTTCTTTCATTTATTATTATTTAATTATAGCTAAACATTTATAATTGGGAGACTAGCCTTAAGGTGAGAGATGCTCTCCAGTGGTGGAAGTTTGTGGAGACTGAAGTGATACAGTTTGCTCCAGCTGCTTCTGCTGCAACTGAAGAAAGGTTTTTTTTTGTGTTTAATCAAACATTTGAGAAGATTGGGAAAGTGTGTAATTAATTGCCTCCCTGATTAACTCTACACCTTTGAGACATTTAAAATTTAATCATCTTCAGCCCAATGCCAGGGCTGTACAATGCACCATGAATGCTTATTACTGCCAGGATTCTGAGAATTGTGGAAACATTAAATCTGATGGAGAGATTGAGGTGAAAGCCACAGACATCTCAAGGGAATGTTGAGAATTAAATGAGGGGCAGAAGATTGGAAGATCATGCCGATTGTCGGAAGGATCTCGAGGTGGATTTAAGCGAGGATTACGTCAGGAATGGTCCTGGAAAATTGGACTGGGGCCTGCTGGCTCTGCTCCTTGATGTGTCAGTGCCCACAGGAAATTTTTTTTATACACTTACGCACTTAATGGTCGGAGTGTGGCCAATGGGGTGCAGGTTCATAATTTCTTAAAACCAGAGTGTCAGGGAGACAGGGCAGTGAAGAAGGCATTTGGTACACTTGCCTTTATTAGTCAGTGCATTGAATATAGGATTTGCGGCTGTACAGGACGTTGGTTAGGCCACTTTTGGAATACTGACCAGGTCTCCCTGCTATAGGAAAGACGTTGTTAAACTTGAAAGGATGCAGAAAAGATTTATAAGGATGTTGCCGGGGTTGGAGCGTTTGAGCTATAGGGAGAGGCTGAATAGGCTGAGGCTATTTTCCCTGGAGCGTCGGAGGCTGAGGGGTGACCTTATAGAAGTTTATAAAGACATGAGGGGCATGGATAGGGTGAAAAGCCAAGGTCTTTTTCCCAGGGCAAGGGAGTTCAAAATTAGAGGGCATTGATTTAAAGTGAGAGGGGACCTAAGGGGCAACATTTTCACACAGAGGGTGGTGCGTGTATGGAATGCGCTGCCAGAGCAAGTAGTGGAGGCTGGTACAATTACAACATTTAAAGGGCATCTGATTGGGTACATGAATAGGAAGGGTTTAGAGGGATATGGGTCCAATGCTGGTAAATGGGACTAGATTAATTTAGGATATCTGGTCAGCATGGACGAGTTTGACTGAAGGATCCAGTGCCGTGCTGTTCATCTCTTCGACTCTAGACTCAGAGGCAGGATCCATGCAGCGACAGTTGGGAGGTAGACAGACAGTCAGGGCACGTAAAAGGGCAATTGGCCCTCAAATAAGAACGGCAATGGAATCTTGGAAGTTGGTGAAGATTCACTAAATGAGATCTTGGAAGAGGGGATAGTCTGATAGCAAGAGCCCATGCAGTACTGGGTTTGAGATCTCTGGGTAACAGAAGGATGAGAGGTGATCTCACTGAAACATGCAAGGTTCTGAAGGTGCTTAACAGGGCAGATGCTATCAGATTGTTTCAACTGTTTGGGGAATCTAAAACAAAGGGGTGGGGGAAGCAGAGTCACAGAGCAAAGAGCCGGTCATTTAGGGCTGGGCTGAGGAGAAATTACTTCACTCAGAGCGCTGTGGATCTTTAGAATTCCGAACCCCAGGGGACTGTAGATGCTCCACTGCTTAAGGCTGTGAGAGGCAGGTTTTCGGGATCCAGAGAATCTAGGGAGAATGGGCAGGAAATTGAAATTGATAAACAAGATCAGCCATGATTATCTTGATTGGCGCAGCAGATTTTGATGCTACGCATATACAAACAAAGAAAAAGAGTAGGCCCTTCGAGCCTTTTCAATAAGATCATGGCTGATCGATTATAACCTCAACTGTACATTCCTGAAAATATTTACTCCCAATGGTCATCAAGAAATGATCTACTTCTGTCTTCAAAAAAAAATTAAAGATTCTGCAACCTACTGCCTTTTGAGGAAGGGAATTCCAAAGACTCACAACCCTCTGAGAAAAAAGCACCGTTGTTTGGGACTTTAAAGTATTTGGGTTCTTGTTGAGTCATATTTCTTGATCTTTATTTATAATGCTAACTATTTGCAAGCCCACAACATTACATACTTACACATGTTGGATGGATGTGTTTACTGATGTTACTGAACATTGCACACACACACATAACTGAAGGACTACACATACACCATGACATAGTGAGAGTGGATGAAGACAAGGTGAGTACCTGTATACCTGAACACCAAATGTTCGGAAGTTGTGTAACTGTCTTAATTGACTGGTCTGGAATCTGTGCCAGAATACAACAACGTCAATGGGCAATACGATTTCCTAGTTCTTACATTCTTGGGGAAGGTGCACAGGCCCTGTATTGTGACGTGGGGGCAAAGTAGGAGAAGCAGAAGCTTTCTGTCCACTGTGCTACCTCCGAGCTGCCAGTCTGAAGTGGGTCAGTGAACAGTCATATGGAGGAAGTTTCCGCTCTTACCTGATGGCCTTACCATCTCCGTGGCTTGCTTCCATTTTAACCATCAGCAGACTTGGTACAATGTCTCCCCTTTGGGATGCCCTCACTCTTTCCATCTGCCTCAGCAGCATCCAGCTCTCCCATAACGTATGGCCGGTTCTACGCGGCCCCCATTAAAGCCCACACATCCGTGTCTTACCTGCTGTCTTTTCGCTCATTCATACACAAGATGTGGGTGGCACCGGCTAGAACTGAACTTATTGCCCATCCTCAATTGCCCTGTGTGAGCTTCCTTCTGGGACTGCTCCAAGTCATGGTGGTGGCGTGAGGACATCAACAATGCCATTAGAGAGGGAATCCAAGATTCTGGCACCATCAACATTGAAGGAATGCCGACAAGTTAGAATGGTGAGTTGCTTAGAAAGAAAATCCGGCCAATTCAGCTGGTGAAACTTAAGTTTGATTAATGAACTTGGAATATCATATGTCTCAGTAATGATGACAGCTATTACTGATTTGCAAAAACGTTATCTGGTTCTCTAATGCATCCCTTTAAAGGAAGGAACTCCATTGTCCACAGCTGCTCTTGCCTACATGTGACTCCATACTTGCAGAAATGTAGCTGACTCTTAACTGCCCTCTGAAATGGCCTATCAAGCCACTCTTGTGGTCAGTTAGAGAGGGGAAACAAAGCTGGCCTTGCTAGTGGTGCCTTCATCCCACAGAAGAATAAAAAAGGCAGAAGTATCACTCTTGCTGGCCTTCGGATAAAGTTAATCAAACTGAGCAGACTGTGGTCTGTGGAACAGATAACTGAAATGTGCTTTCCACCCAAATCAATTTCATCCTGTCCAACTCTGTCAGATTTTAGAAAGGTGAGCAAGGAAGGTGAAGAACCTTTCCTCTCCTCTGATTGAGGTCCTAAATAAGAATACTTTGTTGTAATTAGCGTCAAATGTGTTGATCTAAGACCAGAGATTCTGAGATGTAGAACCACACTTCTGAGAGATGTTCAGCACATGTAATGCTTTCCCCTTGATGGCTTCACGTTCAACGTTGGAAGATTGTAGTGAACAATGTCAGAAAACAGATCTCAGCTCCATTGGCAACCTTTCAAAGGCTGACAGGGTCAAGTTTTTAAACTTTTTGGAGTGGGAATATGTGCTATTTGATCAATGCTATGAATGTGCAGTGCTGTCTATTTATATACTGCTGAGGTTTTTAAAACATTTAATGGTTTACAAGTGGTTTGACTTCAGAAACTTGCATCTTTGTGTCAGACCGAATGCCTGGGGTGGAGGGACAGTCTTATGAGGAAAGTTTAAATAAACTAGCCATATATCCTCTGCAGTTTCGAAGAATGGTAGGTGATCTCATTCAAATTCTCTCTGGCTGTTCATTTAGAATCGGGGACACAGTCTCAGAGGAAGAGATCGGCCAATTGGGACTGAGATGAGGAGGATTTGTTCACTCAGAGATTGCTGAATCATTGGAATTCTCTCCCCCCAGAGGGCTGTGGAGGCTCAGTACATCAAGATGTTCAACTTTGAGGTTACCATTATCTCTTACCTGGTTTGAACCCTGAGACAGAGCTAACTACAGCTCGTTAATGTTTATTCCTAACATCCAGCAGACACTTATAGGTGGCTTTTACAGAAAAAAAATGAATTCAATTTTGGTGAAAACTGCAGGGTACAAAGATAGTTAGAAATCATTTTGGTAGCTGGGATGAAAGACTGTCAGAGGTAACAACTGTCTTGGGTCTGTGGGTCGCACTCCTGTCTCTCATTCAGCAAGTTGTCACTTTAAGCCCCTTCTCTGACACTTGAGCCCCAGAATCTATGCTGACACATCAGTATAGTACTGAGGGAGCACTACAGTGTTGTTAGTTGCTGTCTTTTTGGATGCGATGTTAAACCAAAGCCCTATTAAAACCACGATTTATCTGGCTGTTAGTGAAACTTCGCACCTGATTTAGGAAACTGAAAGATAATTTGAAGGATCCTTTGAAAAAGAATCTAATGATTGCTGAAGCTGCATTGCTCGCACATCCTCAGCACAAGAACAGGCCCTTCAACATGTCTGGCCCATGTGGGAATTTTTGTTCACCCCTGTCTTCCTGCTAAAGGACCATTTTTTGCAGTTGATTTACACTGAGCTCAAGGTATATCACACACTGCAATAAATATATCAATAAAACTATGGATGAAATTGCGTCAACTTCATTGTATGTTCCTGCAGACAATGTAATCTACTTTTAAAATATTTAACATGTGAAGTTTTATCTTGTCATTGACAATAAAAGGATAGACTGTTTAAAAGAAGCAGATGCTTGTACCTTCTGCAGTGACCTCATCGACCATCAGCTTCAGGTGTTTCCCTCGGCGGATCACTCGAACGGTGTGCCAGTCATTGTCATTGAGCTTTTGTCCAGCATAAATTGTCTCTGGTCCTTTGCCTGGGAAAGGTGTTGGGCAAAAAGTATTACTTTACACATTCATGATCAGCCTGTTGACATTATGTTTATTAGGGCTGCAATAAAGACTCATTGTTTCTGCCTTGAATTTTTAAAACAAACATCTGCTGTGAAACTTCCATTTAATAGATCTCTGACCTTCCATTATCAGCGAGAGTGCAATCTACCTTTTAGTCACATGCTCATCACAACAAAGCGCAACATTTTGATTCTAACCTCCAAAGTCTCGCAAACAAACCTTTATTACAGCCCTAATATCCACCATTTAAACAAATACAATATGTAGCAAGACATCTGACCTGATATTGCAGGCCAGGCAGCATCAGAGGAGCAGGAAAGATGATGTTTCGGGTCTGGACCCTTCTTCAAGACCCTTCCTGCTTTCCTGCTCCTCTGATGCTGCCTGGCCTGCTGTGTTCCTCCAGCTCTACACCTTGTTATCTCAGACACCAGCATCAGCAGTTCCTACTGTCTCTGACCTAATATTGCCCCCATTAATCTCAATATGGTCACATCCATCTTAGATTCACAATAAAGAATTTTCGGATGTTCTAGTTTTAAGAGTGTGCAAGATATGTGGATAGCGACAAGTCACAGAGAAATGCTAGTGACTTTGGAGAACTGAGGAACATGATTGATTTGAGCTTCAATGACCTTTTTATCTTCAACGCAATGTTCCTATGAAATTAAGATGCATCTTGTACTCAATTATCGATGATCATGGCTAATGATCACATAAAGGTTCCGTAATCAAAATAAAACTACTTATAATAAACAATATCAATATTTGGACTGTTATTTTGGAAGACCTATATAATCGAACAATATTCATGAACACACTCTACTCAGCTTTATATTCTTGGTGGCCTTCCTTTATGGTGTCAATGCAAAGCCATAATTGGGGTGAACTTGGCTGTGGATCAATCTTGGACCCAGCTCCAAGTGCCTCAGCTGTGGCCATACTGTGGGAGAGGAGCTGGCCAGCTGGATCCTCTTCCACAAGCGAGGGAAAGAGCTGAAATAATTACCCAAGTAAAATTGAAAGGTTTATCCAGCCAGGCTGTAGCCTCATGCAAGGCATTGAGGATGGACTACGGTGATAGAACTTCAGCAATCTGAAAGGCCAGTGCTCTACAAGGCAGACTGCTGGCTTCACCCTTCAGACCTGACACTGGTTAAGTCAAGGACAGGAGATTTCCCTTAAAAATGGGGGAAAGCTCAAAGTGAAACCAAGATCTGTTGAATCGTCTGCCTTGTCAGTGATGCAGCAGAATAATGGGAACAGAAGAAGTGAGGATGGGAGGCTTAATATAAGAGAGGGATGCAACCCAATTTAATAGGAGCCACTGTACAAGGGAGGGAGGTGAGGAATGGGAACCTCACTGGCCTAGTTATTCAGAGCTTTAGGCTTTCTGGTTTGAAGAGTCATATTGGACTCAAAATGTTGACTCTGTTTGTCTCTTCACAAATCCTGCTGAGTTTCTCCAGCGATTGTTTTTATTGCCCCAGGCTAACTTTCTGGGAAACATGGATTCAAAGGGCAACATGATGACATTGGAATTCAAGAAAAATCTAGAATAAAAATCCTTGCCTAATGGCAACTATTGTCACCTATCCAGTTCACTTTTTTTTAACGGAAGGGAATCTGCCATCCTTACTTGATCTGGCCTGCATGTGACTCTTGATGCACAGCAATGTGGTTTGACCCCTAAATGACCTCTCAAATAGCCTAGTCCTCCAATCATTTCAAGGGTAATGAGAGACGGGCAATAAACGCTGGCCTGGTTGATGTCGCCCATATCCTCATTCAAGCTTAACATGTTTAAAAAATATAATATTGTTTTGGGGAGTTATGGCACACAGGCAGAGAGCCATGACTGCAATTGAAAACGAAAAGCAAAACTGTCCTCAAAACTACTAAGAGAAGATATCATATTTAAGGGCAACATATGTAGTTTGTGAACACAACATGGATGCCTAAATGATACTTCTTCAAGAGAGAAAAGGCACTAAAATTTGAACAATCATATACAATTTGTTAACAGAAGCTTGTGAAAGTGTTTAATATGATTCATTCTTTAATAAACTGCTACCATAAGTATTTACTTGTGGTGCATTTTCCACTTTATTTAGTTTAAAAAAAAAGATTGATAGTTCTCGTTGCAGCTGAGTGCTGGTGAGAGGCAAAATGGAGGCTGGAGCGGAGCAGATCCATTCTTGGACTGGGGCCTGGCACGGGTGGTCAGATCATGAGCTGAGCTGCTACTGTTTGAAACTCTCTAACGGACTGTAATGTCAATATGTTATAACTACCTCATTTCTAACTTATTTCTTTAGACAGTGTAAGTAATGCTACTATTTTTCTTTTTATTCCTTTTATTCCTCTTTGTATCCAAGGTTTGTACCAAGGTACTTGTACCTAAGATGACGCCATTAAAGGCAGCCAATATAAAAACCCTTCAATATACTCCTGTACTTCTGTACTGGAGTACACATGACAATAAAGGATATTTTATTCTATTCTATTCTGAAAACCTTGCCTGATCAAGGACCTAAGAAACAGCAAATTGGAGACTATGGGTTTTGTTGTATATCTTGACCCAAGATGAAGCTTCTCCATTTTGTACATTAACAATCTTTTATAAGTGCCTCACATCACACAACTGTGGAGAACTAACTGCTTTAATTTTATTTTACTCATGACAGTGTCGGGTACAGCAAATGTAGTAGTTACTCCGAGCTGATACCATTCAGTTCCTGCACATCTAATTTCACCAAATGGGTTTTCCACACAAACTTGGCCAGCCATTCACTCCAACACATATTTGCAAAAGCCTTCCTTTTTGTTATTTTTATCTTCAAGCTGGGTATTGTTAGCTTTTTCAAAATTATGCCAAAAGCAAGACTTAATTATTATTTGTTTTCACCCCCTTCCACTTTCACTGCCCCTTTGGAATACATTTCTTTTTAACAAAACACAGTTTCATAATGACAAAGTTAAACTTAATAATAAAGATTCTTTTATACCTTGAACTATAAGTGTGGTACATTCAACAGCATCAATGCACACAGAAGATTAATTTTGAAACTAACAGCTCATTCTAAAACCTCCAATTTTCAGCCGAATGTTTGCTGAAAAAGGTGCTTGCCAGTTTCTCGGCCAGTCTTTGATTGAAAGGATTGCATGTTGTACACTCAGGACCAATGTACGAACGCTATCAATGGCAAGATAATTATGAGCTCAGGAAGGCACAAAACTAGGGTGGACTTTGAGAGATTCTGGCTCCATCACAGAGTGTCTCATAACAGTGCAACCTTCCCCACTCTGCAGCCTGCTTGGAAGGCTTGACTAAATCTTATGGTCAAGACTGACTCACAATCTTGTCATTTTAAATGTCTCTTAAAAACTGAAGTGCCATAACATAAGAACATGAGAACATAAATATGAACATCTGGATTAGGAGCCGAGGTAGGTTATTTGGTCCCTCTAGCCCGCTGTATTCAATAGCATCATGGCTGATCTATTTGTGTTCCAAATTCCATCATCCCATCTATCCCCAATAACCTCTGAGTCTTTTTTCTTATTCGCTCACGGGATGTGAGTGTTGCTGCCTGGGCCAGCATTTATTGCATTTCCTAATTTCCCAGAGGGCAGTTAGGAGTCAACCATATTGCTGTGGGTCTGGAGTCACATGTAGGTCAGACCCGGTAAGATGACAGATTTCCTTTTCTAAAGGACGTTGCTGAACCAGATGAGTTTTTCGAGCAATCCACAACGGTTTCATGGTCATCATTAGACTCTTAATTCCAGATTCTTGTTTCAATTCAAATTCTACCATCTGCCCTGGTGGGATTTGAATTCAGGTCCCCAGAATATTAGCTGAGTTTCTGGATTAATAGTGTAGTGATAATACCAATAGCCCATTGCCTCCCCATTCTCAAAATCCCTAATTCTCCTGCCTAACAAGAAACAATCCACCTTCGTCTTACAAAATATTAAATGACTCCATCGCCTTCTGAGGGACTTCCAAAGTTACACAACCCTCTGACAGAAAATAATTCTCACCTCAGTCCTACAAGAGAGAACCCTAAATTTAAAACAGTGCTCCTTAGTTCCAGACTGATCCACACGAAGAAACATCATTTCCCCCTCCAGACGTCAAGGCCATTTGGGATCTTATAAACTTTTATCAAAGTCACCCCTCAGTATTTTAAATTCCAATGGAAATGGTCCCGGTCTGTCAAACCTTTCTTCATAAGATAACCTAGTCATTCCAGGTTCTAGTAACAGTAATTGGACAAAAGCAACGACAAGTTGCCCAAACTAGCATCTGGTTTGTCTGATACTTAGATCAAATACAACCATTTGTACAACAACTTGATAGCCTATAGGAAGGATGAATGTTTCAGTTACAAATGCGATACTAGAAAGAAAGTCACCGTTCAACAATTAATTGGCAGGAATGGTCACGTTGCATGAATGGACATGAAAACAACACGCCCAAACCTGCCAAAACAACATCCTGCTTTTCACCTGTATTTCACTGCTCTTTCTGTCAAGAGGATTGGGATCATGGATAAGGAATTTATTGCTATCACTGCCCTTGGATTTGTGTTTTCAGTTTACTTGAATGCTCATACCAGTTTGGTGTCAAGTGCTAGGAGATATGAGAAGACAGGGAGAGAGAGGAAGAAGAGCAAAAAAAATTAAGGGCATGAAGAAGAAGGAAGATAGAAAAAAAGAGAAAAGAAAATAAAATTGAAAATAAAAGTGTTGCATTTTATGGTGTTTTTAAAGAACATCTTTTAGCACCTTACAGTCAATTAAGTACTTCCTGAACTGTAGTCACGGGTATCATGTAAGAAACATGACAGCCAATTTGCACTCAGCAAGCTCTCAGAAACAGCAATGTGGTAATGTGCAGAAAATCTGGTTTAGTGATGCTGAATAAATGGAAAATGTCAGCTAGAACACTGGGAAT